CCCCAAAACCCCAAAACCCCAAAACCCCAAAACCCCTCTTATATATTTTTTGGTTGAAGTGCCTTCTTAAATTATTTTACTCTTCCTTCTTGACTGGCTTTGACTTGAAGTTGCCTCCTCTCTTGTTCTTCTTCTTATTTTTGAAGACCTTTTCTTTTACTGGCATGAAACCATCAGCGTCCTCCACATTTTGTTCTTCCTTGGCCTCATAATGTTTTCTTCCATCATCTTGATAGTAGCCATCGTTTTTGTAGTAGTTGTTTCTACCTCTTCCTCTGCCACCTCTGGCTCTTTCATGCTCGAAGTTTCCTCTTCCTCTACCTCCACGGTCATAGCCTCTGCCTCCGCGGTCGTAGCCTCTTCCTCTGCCTCTGTAGGCTGAGTTGGGATGGCCTCTATGTCCGCGGTGGGCTCCTCTGACTCCTCTTTGATGGAAGCCTCTGCCATATCCTCTTCCGCCTCTTTTGTCATATGGCTGATTATCATAGAACTTTTGTTCTTGTTCTTCAAGGGCTGCTGTATCTTTCTGGTTTGGAGTGGCCTCATCCTTCTCCTTGTCTTCTTCTTTGTTGGCTTCTTCATCATCAGAATCTTCATCGCCATCTTCTTCAGATTCATCGTCGTGGTCGTCATCCCATGCTGAATGCATTGGCTTCTTTTGGTCAACAGCTGGCTGAGATTCCTCCACAGGTTCAGGAATTTCAACAGGAGCTTCAGGAGTAGCATCAGCAGGAATACTCTGGTAAGGAGCACTAGTCTCTTCAGGGGTCTCGATTTGATGAACAACTTCTTCTGCTTCTTGGGCTTTCGCTGCCTCTTTTGGTTCTTCAGTTTGTACAGGAGCATTTACCTCATTTTGTGGCTGAACTTGTTGAGGGTTAGTGCTCTGGGTCTGCTCTTGAGGAATTGGGGTTGGCATAACTGGGAATTGTTGCATTGGTTGTCCTGGCATCATGTTTGGCATACCGCCATACATGTTCATTCCCATCATATCTGCTCCTCCTGGGGTCATGTACATATGATTTGTTTCATTGAACTTCTGATTAGCCAAAACACGGTCAAAAGCATCAGCCAAACCGGCATAAGTTAGTGGAGCTTGTCCAGCAGGTATCATTTGGTTCATTTGCATTGGGGTTTCAATAGCTTCATCTGCTCTGTTGACTATCTTCAAGACTTTTTCTTTGAGGGAACCAGTTATAGATCCGAAATTCAGTGGTGCTGAGGTATATCAATTTGCAATGTAGATTTGCTTGAGGGCAAGACATTCTTCATCGGTGAAATAATCAGTTCTCTTAAACTGAGGATTCAACATCACAAAAGAGTCTACCCAATGCCCCATGACATGGATCAATGAGTAATAGCTAACTGCTCTTTCAATATCTTCAGTAGGAATTTGAGGCTCTTGAGATTCGAACTTCTCTTTAGTATGTGAGATTCCTTCTTCCTTTCCCTCATCATATCCAGTCTTCTTGCCTTCATCATACCCAAGATTTCTACCTTCAGCAAATCCTCTGTCAAACTCCTCCTTCTTAACTGCCTCTAGGTCAACCTGTGGCTCTTTCTCTTCTGGCTCTTGTTGAGTTTCTGGCTCTTCTTCATTCACTTCTTCCTTGACTTCTTCTTGCTTCTTAGAAATTTCTGGCTTCTGCTTCCAGATAAGTTTCATATGAGACTTGAAATGCTGAGTGTACTGTGAGATAGCGAAGTCTAGCTCTTCGAGAGAAGTCACAACCTCCTGTCTCTTGTTCAGCATCTGTTGTTGTTCCTTAGTAAGCTTGGATCCGTCACTGGTCTTTTCTTCTGTTTCTTGAATTTTATTCCACTTCTTAACGTACTTCCTCATTCTGGTGTAGAGGGATTTGAAGAACTCGTCTTTCTCGGTGAGTTCTGCATGTTCTTCCTTGAATTTCTTCAGGATTTCAAAGCTAGCATTAAAATCTTTAGTTTTTCCCATCTTAGGATTTACACTGATTATTTAAATCAATTATTGATATGAAGGCCGGGGTTTTGGGGTTTTGGGGTTTTGGGGTTTTGGGGTTTTGGGGTTTTGGGGTTTTGGGG